GAATAGAATAGAATAGAATAGAATAGAATAGAATAGAATAGAATAGAAACAGCCTTTATTGTCTCACGGATGGGAAATTCAAGTGTAACAGATAAAAAGATAAAAAGATTTCACACAAAAGTCCCTAAATGTTAAAAACAATATATAAAGAAATAAGAAAAACAATATCAATAATAATGTTCAATATGTGTTGGAACATTGATAAGTTACTATAATTAACACCAGCAGCACCTGCCTCCCAAAACTACTCCAGTTCAGAAACAAGCAGTTAAAAGTAAACCCATTTACACGTTGTTTCTGCATTCAACAATTACCTATGATGTCATCGTTTTCTGTAGAAGTAATGAAGGAGTGCTATGTTCAATTAGCTTTGAACTCAAACCTGGTATCAACGTCGCATCCACCTTAACCAGTAATCGGGCTAACTACCATTTCCAGTTCAAGCCAATATAATAAAATATAACATTACATTTTTGACAGGACCACATAGCAACATGTTCCATTATTGAGTTTGAAACAGGTGAGTCCACGTGGTTAAATGAGACTAATCTGTATAAATAAAGTATTTTCTCCTTCTAGTAGAGGACGTGTGAAACTCCTCCCCTGAAAGCTATCTAGATAACATCATTACTAGATGCCTACACCACTTCAGCTGGCTCCTTTTCTCCCTATCCCTGAGGGTGGGTCCAGCCACCCTGCAGAAGAAGCTCATTTCAGCAGCTTTTGTTCTTCAGCTTATTCTTTCTGTTTTTATCCATATCTTGTGACCAGAAGTGAGGTTTGAAAAGAAAATCGATTGGTAAATTGAGCGCTTTGCCTTTTAGCTCATCTCTCCCTTCACCGTGACAGATCAGTACTGTTGGATCAAAATTATCCTCGCTTTATCTACTTACAAAAAAGGAGCAACACACAAAGACAGGAGAAGACCCAGTTTACTTGCAGGGGCAGACGTTCACACAAGCTTCCACAGATGTTTCATTGAGTGTATCTTCTAGTGTAATAATATCAAATTGTTAGTTGTAATTTTAGCGCTCGTCTCTGTGCCCTTAGACAACTCAGTTGTGAACTGGCACTATATAAATAAACTAAATTGAATCTCTGCATTCTGATTATTTATGTCAAGTAGGCTTTATTTAAATACCCAATAAATAACTTAAAAAAACTACATGTATTATATTTCTTGGTACTGGAATAACTTCCAATAATTCCTGACAAACTAAATGATAACCATGATGTGTTCACCCTACCTTCACACAAACCAAAACTCTAGACCTGAAATTTTGCCTTATATGCTTTTATCATTATTATTAACTTTACTGTTCCCAGCAACATTTATGTTTACTAGAACAAGTACGGGCAGCACGGTGGCGCAACTGGTAGAGCTGCTGCCTCTCAGCGAGCAGGTCCTTGGTTCAAACCCCGGTCCAGGGGCCTTTCTGGGTGGAGTTTGCATGTTCTCTCCATGCATGCGTGGGTTTTCTCCGGGTGCTCCGGTTTCCTCCCACAGACCAAAAACATGCATGTTGGGCTGATTGGTAACTCTAAATTGTCCCTAGGTGTGAGTGATAGAGTGAATGGTTGTTTGTCTCGTTTGTCTCTATGTGTCCCTGTGATGGACTTGCGACCCGTCCAGGGTGTACCCCGCCCCTCGCACAGTGATTGCTGGACATGGGCACCAGCGACCCCCGTGACCCAAAATGGAATAAGCGGGTAAAGAAAATGGATGGATGGATGGATAGAACAAATACATCCTAATGAGAGTTTAAAAATATTGCCATAGTCCTATAGTTGGAAGAGGGTGGGCTGCTCTCTTCAGGTCGAGGGTGAGGTATCTGCAGTATTGTGGACTCTGTGTCGGTCCATGGTGATGAAGAGAGAGCTGAGCTTTTTACCGATTGGTCTACATTCCTACCCTCACTTATGGTCATGAACTCTGGGTAGTGATGGAAAGAATGAGATCGTGGGTACAGGAGGTTGAAATGAGTTTCCTCTGCAGGGTAGCTGGACTCTCCCTTAGTGAGTGAGAGGTTCAGTCGTCTGGAGGAGACTCTGAGTAGAACTGCTGCTCCTCCACATCGAAAGGAGCAAGTTGAGGTGGTTCAGGTATCTGGTAAGAATTCATTCAACCTTTATTTATCCAGGTTATTCTCACTGAGCCTCGGGGACTCGTTTACTAGAGAGACCTGTTTTTAACAAAGAATAATGACAACAGTGACAACAATAGACAATACTAGAACAGTATTGGAACAGTATAATACTTCCTGGGTGCCTCCCTGGGGAGGTGCTTCAGGCATGTCAGACTGGGAGGAGAACCTGGACTATAAGTCTCTTGGTTGGCCTGGGAATGCCTTGAGGTCCTTGTAGAAGAGCTGGAAGAGGTGGCTGTGGAAATAGATGTCTGGAGCTCCCTGCTCAAGATGCTGCCCCAGAGACCCAACCTCAGAACAAGCAGAAGATGATGGATGGATGGATGGATGGATGGATGGATGGATGGATGGATGGAT